GGGGGGGGGGGGGGGGTTGGAACGAGAGTGGTGTTGGAAGAAAGGGGTGGTGCTGTCAGAAACGCCTTGCCGCTGTTCCATAGGCGGCCGGAGTCGCACGCACTTATCGCTACCACTCAAAGTACGTGGCGAGCGGAGTCAACCAGGAGACTGGTACATAAGTAGGGCGCTTTGGCCCGGTTTAACAGCTAGGGCAAGTCCCTGTTTTCCTTTTTTTTTTGAAGGTGAAGGTTTTTCTTTGAGGTGAGCAAGAAGTTCGGGTGCCTGTACATTAGCGTGGGAGGTAGTGCTACCACGTTCGAAAACAAGCTGCGTGAGACGAAAACGGGCAGATAGACATAACGCTGCCGGTCCGGCTGGGGGTTTTGGGAGAAGACAGTTATATCACCTAACATTCCACCGTTACGTATAATGAGTGTCCGAGGGAACGGGGGAGAGTTTGACAGTGAGGTTGACGAGGTTGAGTCTACACAGACATGCCCGGTCCCGAACCACGAGCTATTCAGCTCACTGTGCTTCATTAGCAGGATTCTATGTGTCGTCGGTTCGTTACAATTTGGTCATTGGCCACATCAAGCGTCCAACCGCACTGAATAATCAGAGACATCGTCTCCGGTTCCAATCGTAAGATTTTACGACGAACACGCCTAACACAGAAGTTGTCGTAAAAATTTGTTATCGAAACCGGAGAAGGTGTTTCTGTTTATTTAATGCACTACCGTCGCTAGATTCCCTCTACTGGATTTCATCTGCCAAAAGGGGATAGGTGTGGAAAGGTCGGATGTACCGGATGGGTGCTACAACGGCAAAGTTCGGGGCACATTTTTGGCCCAAAAAACAGAATTGATAATGAGAATGATTCAAAGCAACTCCGTTGAATTTGCTACCGAGCTGCGCAGGACCTTCACTCACTACGGAAGGGCAGCAGGAGAATGGAACGCTGTAGAAGCTAGTGAGTGGGCGCGGCATATTTGGCGGAAGACCTTATGTCTTTGTTCGAGAAAAACAAGCGCAAACCGAGAGGGCTTCTTAAGCACGTGAAGGACCATTGCCCCATGCCCTGTCCGGCAGAAGAAGTTCCCCAAGAGCCCTTTCAAACCCGTCGAGAGTTGGAGGAATATGAACTACGACGCCGTCATCCACTAGCGCTCGAGTGGCTCCACAGCGATGTTCCGGTTGATGGGCCATCGCACCGGAACTTTGCAGAGAACATGATTGAGAAATTGAAGAAAGGCTTCAACGTTAAGTATTGCAAGCGCGAGGCTGGCAATACTCTCGTAACAGTAGGTCCTGACTCCCGATTTCCGGAAGGGATCGAAGGTTCGGGTCGTTTAATCAGGACAGTGCCCAGTGTGGTTGTTTGGTACCATTTTCTTAAGAATTACCCCGGTATGTCACGAAAGCAACGTTTGGAGAGTCTCTCAATGCTTAGTCGCTGGTACCCGGCGCAGGTTGCCCATTACTTATTTAGAGAAGTACGCGACCGTTTTTTGGATCGTGACTTGTGCCTACGACGGGAAGGCGGCCTGTTTAATGCGCACGTTCCCACCAGTTCCCTATATATCTTACAGATCGATGAAAGGATAGCACTATGGTTTTATGAAAATCCTCAGACTAAGGGAGAGCTTATCAAGGAGGTGAAACCTTTCGTGGAGATGTTCCAAGACAATCTGAGGGGTCATGTGCGCGACTGTCGTGTGCGCGACTCGGCCTGGATGGAAGAGTTACTTGTGCGTACTCTGATGGACAAACTCGTTTCTCTGCATGCTGCCCGCACTGGGCAAGACCGACAGATCGTCGCCCAGACCCTGCGTGGACGCGAACCTTTCGTGTTTTCAGTCTCCCAACAAGAACTGTGTGAGACCTACTCGGAAATCCTGACCACTGTAGCAACGCGAGTGGCCGTTGAACAAACCCATGACTACGCCTGCAGGGCAGCCTGCGTCGCAATGAGTTCCGTCTTCTACCTGCACGACCTGACACACCTTGTAGATATGGGTCACACATTATGACCACACACACGATCAATTGTTTCCTTGCTACCCGTCCTCTTGGCCTGGCCTGGGGCCGCCTCTTGGCCTGGCCTGGGGCCGCCTCCGCACTATCTCGACAAGATGATATCCCTGTGGCGCTGTGGATCGTTACGTGTACACTGCGTGGGTAGCAACAGCGTCAAGTCGTAATAGTTGCCTTCTTGGTGTATCTAGGGTGCGGTGATTCGATTCGTTTAGTCCATTCTGCCGAGGTAAGTGTGGTGCGGCGGTCATGTGCTTGACTTTCAGTCGTGAAAGTCACGGTCACGTAGTCGTGGAAGTCACCTCTCTTTCGCCGTCCGTGTATATTTCGAAGGGTGTCCCCAACGCTCCTACTACACTTTCTGCGATGAGGTTGCGTGTTACCGCAGCCGTCTTCAACGCTAGCTACGATGTAACGAGTTCGTGATTGGTGTTCGTAGAGGCCGTCCGTGTTCTCTCTTATATATTTATCCTGTAATTATTTCCTCTTATTTTGTAATTACTTCCACTCCATACCTTGCCTCGTCGTTCTTGGAGTCCGCAATTGCTTTATCAGTATATTTTATATCAGATAATTTCTAGTCTACAGGAGCAACCCACCCACACGTGCACGGCACTTGCCATGGAAGACCCCACCCTCAGATACACTGCTTGTTACGAAGGTATGAAACATAAAACATGATGAAGGTATGAAAGTATGAAAAAACGTGCGAGGTAATGTAATGAGGTAACGTAATCAGATAGGGGTGAGTATCGGGTGGCTACTACCGTGGCAGCTCTTTAACCCGAGCTCCCGGCGACTCTCATACGATGTCGTAAACGGGGCGTCGTCTACGCCTCCGTGCGGTCACCGGAAGCTTCGTGTGGGGGCGACTGCGCCTCGCATTACGCAGTCGCCCGAGGTGTCTACGGCGTGGCCGGCTGGCGGCACGTACCAGGCGGCACGCCGCCAGCACAACAAGAGAGTAGGCGACAACAGTCGCAGGCCTACGAGGGAATGAAAAGTGAGAGGGAAAACGAGGCTGGTGGAAGTGACAAGCGGGGCTCAAAAAGCAACGTAGTTGTTGATAGCCTTACCCGAAGACTGCGCTGTTGTCGGAGTGAGCGGTGGCCACGCCGTAGACGAGGATCTGGGTCCCAGCCAAAAAGCCTAGACCACAGATCCTCATGTAAGTGGTGAAGGTGGGCAGCGCAAGCGCTGCCCACCACGCCAGTGCGCCACGACCAATGGTCTTGCCC